CTCTTCTGGCTCTCTCTTTGGCTGTTCTGTGAATCCCTTGTTCAGTTTTGAAAGTTTTGTAATGTTCATGTATGGGAATACTGCCTTGGGAAAGTTGCTGTGGTTCATTTATTGATTTATTGCAAGAAATAAATCAATAAATGAACAATATTAATGATATATAAAGGGTAAATGAGCTTTTACCATCACCCGAGGGATGTTACTATGGTAACTTGATTGATTTTATATATATATATATATATATATATATATATATATATATATATATATATATAATGTCCCATATAGGCCATCACTGTAAAGACACTTTCTGTCAGTGTCTCTACAACAGAATCATCAAACCACTCTGAATGATTTTGTTTACATCTTTGTAGTTCAATCATGTGGACATTTTGAAATTACTCTTTAAAAGCACTGTCACACAGCAACTCAACGTTTAATTCTAAGGGATCAAGAAAGGCTGGAAAGTAGTTACGTAAAAATACCAAAAAATTAAATACATGAAGAAACAGAATATGGGCTTTTCGATGAACTTTGGGTAAGTATGTGAAATGCAAATAAAAACAAAGCACTGATTTGTAAATCCACTTTGACCTGTATTTAAACAAAAGCAGTACAAAAACAAGATATTTTATGTTTTATCAACTTCATTGTTTTTTTTAAATATATGCTCATTTTGAAATTGATTCCTGTAATATCTCCCAAATAGTACATGCTGTTAAATGATAGGAATGTTGTTAAATTTTAAAAGAGGTGATGCTTGAGTATAAAATAAGCATGGACGTCATGTTCTCTGGGCCAAAGGACCCCATTTCCAAAAAAGTTGGGAAACTGTGCAAAATGTAAGTAAAACAAGAATGCAACAATATAAAAATCAAATAAACCCTATACTTCATTGAAAATAGTACAAAGGCAACATATCAAATACTGAAACTGAGAAATTTCATTGTTTTTTGAAAAAAATATGCCCATTTTAAATTTGATGCAGGCAATATGTTTCAAAAAAGTTGGGACAGGGACATCTTTATCACTGTGTTACACCACTTCTTCTTTTAACAACACTGTAAGCGTTTGGGAACTGAAGAGACCAACTGCTGTACTTTCGAAAGTGAAATGTTTTCCATTCTTAGTTAATATGGGATTTCAGCTGCTTAACAGTTAGGGTCTCCTTTATCATATTTTTTGTTCCATTATGCAGCAAATGTTTTCAATGGTGACAAGTCTGGACTGCAGGCAGGCCAGTTCAGCACCTGCACACTTTACATCCACGCTGTTGTAATTTTGTTTGACATTGTCTTGCTGATATAATCTGGATGGCAGCATATGTTGCAAAAACCTGTATACATCTTTCAGCATTAATGGTGTCTTCACAGATGTGCAAGTCACCCATTCCATGTGCAACCCTGTACCATCATGGATGCTGACCTTTGAACTCTGCACTGATAACAAGCCAGGTGGTCTTTAGCCAAGAGGACACAGTGTCCATGATTTCCAAAAAGAATTAAAAATTTTGGTTTGTCGGCCCACAGGACACTTTTCTGCTGTGCCTCAGTCTTATCTTAAATGATATCAGGCCCAGAGAAGGTGGCAGCATTTCTTGGTCCTGTTCACATATACTTTAATCTTTGCAGAGTTTTAACTTGCATTTGTGGATGCAGCGACAAACTGTATTCACAGACAGTGGTTTTCAGAGGTGTTCCTGAGCCCATGAAGTGAATTCCACTGCAGAATGATGTCTGTTTTTAATGCAGTGCCACCTTGGGGCCAGAAGATAATGGCTAGCCAATTATGGTTTTGGGCCTTGTCCCTTGCATACAGACATTTCTCTGGATTCTCTGAATCTTTTAGTAAAATAATGTACCACAGATGATGAAATCCCCACGTTTTTTGCTATTTTACTTTGAGAAACATTTTTTTTTAATTGTTGCACTATTTGACCGTGCAGTCTTTGACAGTGTTACACTCCTTCCCATCCTTACTTCTGAAAGACTCAGCCTCTCTGAGATGCTCTTTTTATACCCAGTCATGTTACTGACCTGTTGCCAATTAACCACCTAGTATTTTTCTTTTTTTTTTAATATTACACAACTTTACCAGTCCCTTGTTGCCGTGTCCCAACTTTTTTGAAATGTGGCATTAAATTCAAAATGAGCATATATTTTTCATAAAACAATAGGATTTCTCTCTTTCGACATTTGATGTGTTGTCTTTGTACTATTTTGAATTAAACATAAGGTTTAAATGTTTAAGATTTAAAATAAGGTCTGTCATGGTATGAGAGTGTCTTAGTGCCCATGCCATCTTATCAAATTTCTTGCACTGGTAGACAATACTGGACTGTATGCTTCTCACAGACATATAGCCTACTGTCGTTCCGTTCTGAACGGAAAATGGCATTTGCTACTTTCAGTGTGACATTGGCTGCCTTGTTAGTGAAGTTTTAAAGTCAGCACAATTTCAATTGGAAAATTAAAACATTTTATATTTGACAAAGGTAAAAAAAAATCATGAAGTCAGTTATAGCTTGGTCTCTTTCAAAAGTCAAAGTTAATTCTTCGGTGATTAAAAATGTTACACCCCTACACCAGTACATGTATGTGTGGCTGTAAACACCTGCAATGTTTGTATGACTAACCTGTTAATATAAAAAACACAAGAAATTGAAAATGAAAGTGCACACTTCATGCTACATGTCCTGTTCACGAGAACAGACTTGGTCAGCAGTTCTGTAATTCATAGTTGCTAATATGAGCTAGTTTGACTGAATAAGCACTGTGGCAGTTCACACATGAGCCTGAAAAGCTGATGCTTTGAAGATTGTTTGGACTAGACCAGGGGTGTCCAATCTGATCCGCAAAGGGCCTGTGTGGGTGCAGGTTTTCATTTCAAATAAGAGCACACCTGAGTCCACTCGTTTAATCAGTCACTCTCAGTCTTTAAACAACTGATCATGTGTGCTCCTGCTTTGTTGCGATGAAAACCTGTAGCCTCACTGGCTTTTGCGGATAAAACTGAACACCCCTGAACTAGACCAACTTTAGCAAGTTACTGTTTTCACTGTATTATCTATGCAGTAAGTTAACTTTATGAAATAAAGTAAGCAAACTCACCTCAAGACCAGAAGAGAAAACTGGTGTGGCGTCAGTATTGCACTCAATGCAGCAGCATTCGGACAAATTTCTTTCATTTTGCTGTTATTAACGTATCGAAAGGCTGAATCCAGGGCTATTCAAATATCCAGGCGGTTACGCCAGTGGTTATGTCCTTCTGGAGAACATCATCCAGGTATCTTTGGTGTACTGGTGAAATTCATGTTCAAACTACTTACTACTTTTGGGCACAATCTGTATGCGAGCAGTATGTAGTAGACTATTTCGAATGCAGCCAAAGAGTTTTAGTCTGTGTCTTATTTTAGCCACACAAATGTATTTTAAACCAGGAAGCGAGACTGCATCCCTATCCCTTATGGCCACATAGTGAGTAATTAGATCTTATTGTTTTGAAGTAAAGAATTGTCACTACCATAACACATTTTCTGCAAATAACTTTGTTTTGTGTACAGTGGTTCAAAGCTGTATTTGCTATGTTGTATTTTTGATTAAAATTACCTAAATTAGCTAAAATTGTATCATCTGAAACAGTCTGTACCAAAACATTTGGTAAAATATGTGTTATGATTGTTTTGGTAGAGACAAAATGTTTAATCATTTGTTTTATTGTAGTCATTAGCTTAGTCCCCCACTGTATTTCTTTTCTGTCACTGCACAAAAACCTATTTGGCTTCCCTCTGTGCTGCTTCTGAAAGTCCTTAGTCACTCTTCATATAAGCACTCCAGCAGTCCACCACCCTTCTTTCTGTCTGCTGTTTTTTTTGCTTGACTTTTTTTTCACTTTGTGTGTTTTCCAGTTCTCTCTGTCTGTCTCTGATCTTTTAATCAGTGTCTTTATGTAATCTGTTGGCTGGTAAACTTGTAAAAGTGAGCTTGTTCACACATGCATACACACAGAAATGAACATTACACTGGGTTGTATTCTTGGGTTGGTGGAGTATTTTCATTTCCTTCACTTTGCCTGAAGCTAAAAGCCATAACTTAGCCCTAACCTTATTGTAAAACCTTAAGAACATCTTAACCTTAAGATCATCTTTTAGCTCTTTTACTGTTTCTATATAAAATCTGCAGCCTTCTTTGTGGGGACCGGCCAAATGTCCCCACAGAATCAAAATGTTCACGTTTTCATCATCCTGAATATGGTACATTTGATACCCCCAAAGAGCTAAACACATGGATGCATGCACACAAGCACACTGCCTCTTTAATTTTTAATAAACTCCCTGTTTTTTCATGCCTTGTAAAGAAGCCAATGACCTGCCCCTCCCGTTGCTACAGTGATGTAAGCTGAACTTTGAGACGCACTCCCTTTTCCTTTTATCAGCTCTGTAATACTGAATTACAGTCACATGGTCACATGAGCAGCACTGACCATGCCATATCACTCACACATAATTAAATATACACACACGTCATCTATCGGAAAACAGGTTCATCACGTCTTCTGATAATTAGTTTATGAGAGACCGTCAAAGTTTAGTTGGCTCTCACACAGTTTCTGTTACTTCTGTTAGTTGTTCAGTGAAAGGATCCAGAAGACTGCAGGGCAGCGAAGGCTTTTCACAAGCTTAGCGTAGTCATTTCAATGTAGTTACTGAATAACTAATAGTAGTTACAGAATAATAAGTCTTAAGAGTAACAACTGAATAATAAGCGTAGACTTATAAGGGGCTAACCCATGGATTCAGCCTTGGAAGAAGAGCATAATATCTTGGCATTGGGCAGTAACAATGCACCCTTCATCTGCTGTCACTCTCCTCTCACTCGAGTCGACCTCCCTACGTTTCTGGTGCACCCGGGTGTGGCCAAGCTCAGGGGCCGGCCATATGACTGCCGCGTTCGACCACGGTCAGACGGTGATCTCTGGAGCGTGTATTTGACTGATTGGGATTTGTCCTCCCCCAGGAGTATCACGGACCAGGCCTGTCTCAAGGTGTACCACAAGGACCCGGTACATGCCTTTAACCACGGAGCTCGGCCCAACAATGGAGATCCCAGGGTGAGTATATACCTCCTGAAGTTGGAAAAGAAAGGGTAAGGAGGCTCAGTGTTTAATGATTTCATGAATGTGTAATTGATGGCCACAGTCTTGACCTCTCCATGACGTTTACAATAAGACTCTTGATTAAGAATATAAGTAAGCCTCAAGCAGAATTCACACTGCATAGTATCTGACAAACATTTACATGTAGTAAATAAAATAAGATAAAACATGCATTCCTACCGTCACCCACTCTCTCTCACACACACATTCTCTCACTCACTCACACACTCACTCACTCACTCACTCACACACACACACACACACACACACACACACACACACACACACACACACACACATACATACACACACACAGTCGTACTTAAAGTACCTAGTACTTTATGGGAGACACTTAGAAAAACTTTTTTTCTCCCTAATATATGTGTGTAAATATACATTCCAATACAGTGGTTGAGAGATGGCATGCTGTAAATCAAATACAGTTAGGTTTTATGCTATGAAATATGTGATACAAAAAAATGGTTTCTGTAGTTCTCTTTAACACAACCCATGATATTTTCTAAAAGTTAAAACCACAAATGTTAAACAAAACAATAATTTAAACAAAAAACCTCTTGGAACTCAGCTCTCAGAACTTGAAAAAATGGCCTACCTTGGATGGTTGATTGGCCAAACTGTTTGAACTAGTATAAGTGAAATCATCCTCATATTTATCTCCTGTTTCCCAGTTGCGTGACATTTCAGTTTCCCAGTTGACTAGATCAAACTGTGACAGTATGCCGATATTGCTCAACGCTAGTATCAAAAACCCATTCTAATATCTCACATATGCTAACTCATTTTTTAAGACATCATCCCAGTATGTCAGTTGCCAGAGCAATAATAAAACACAAAGCTCAAGTTAGGTTCTTATTCGATTTTCCATTCCACCTTAAATGGAGCAGCACTTACGTTCTTCATTTGAAGTGGACCGTAACACTTAAATAAGACGCTGGCAAATTAGAAGCCAACTTCAGCCTCAGAGAAAACCACTTCTCGCAGCAGCTACTTTTTCCCTATTAATTTAAGCAATCAAGTGCTGATTCAGAACAGGTGAAACAAATAACTCGCTCCTCAGGCATGTTTATAGCTTTTAGTTTGCTCCTTTACTCAGTTGTAGAGAGTCCTAGATTCCACAGTCTGCTGGGAGTGGTTAAACCACATTAGAAAATTCACTCTTGCACTCATTTCAGCCCAAAGACAAGATCTACTCTCAACCTGCAGTGACGCTGAAGTGTGCAAAAACAGTTGTGGGAGTTTATAAGAGTGTGGATTTGTTTTAATTTTGAGCTTATTATGGTGGCTAAGAACCATGCATAACAAACTTTGTGTTCCTGATATAAAAAAACTATTTCTGTTGGTCCATTCATTATATGCACAATGTAAACAGCTACTCGCATTTTCAAATGGTATAAAACAAAAAATGAAAAAATGAAATTGCAAAGTTTTGATGATGATCTTGATGATAGTTTGGTACATGTTGTGACGTAGATATCAATACATTCACTTTGCTTTTTTTTCTACATTAACAGGCTATAGATGTAATCTGTGTTAACCATGAAATAAGTGGGTGACCTAAATAAATTCCCTAAGTCGCTCACCCACCCTTATTGTGTTCTGTAATCCGCAGACCCTCTCTTTCCTTTTTAGAATTAAAAGTCCGTTTGTCAGGCTCCCCAACTTTTTCATAAGGCCTTTTTTACCTGGGCCTACTTGCAGGGGGATTGGGCCAGTCCTGGTCCTGTGCTCAGCTGGAGGGCTCCGAATGGAAGTCAAAGGGCTTTCTCCTGCACCATTCTTCTCCGTAACCCCCCCCCCATTCTCCCACAATGCCCACTGTTTGTTCGGCACGAATGTAACGGATCAGATCACTCCCCAGTGTGTACATGTGTGTGCCCAAATCCTGGATCATCCACCCCCCCAAAAAAAACAACAACTTTGTGTCCTCTAATCCCCAGTTTGGCTTTGACCAGCTTGATGTGCTAATAGATCTTCACATTCGCCTGCTGGAACTACAGAGTGCTATAGATGAAAGTAGAATGGCAAATATATTTTGGATTATTATTGGGTAGAAGTTGGTTTTAGATGGCTCAGTGCTGTGTAATGACAGTTTGAAGTGAGAACTATGTGGTGAGCCTGAAACGGGAGAAAGTTGAGAAGCAAATTATTTGTCGTGTGTGTGTGTGTTGTTTAGAGGAAACATTTGGTAAAGACAGATAGTTTTGTGACTTTACAGACCACAGGACAAGACGAGAGAGAGAGTGAGAGAGAGAAAGAGGTGTAAGCAAATAATGGAGAGAAATTATTATTTATCACTGTCTTACAAAGGAGGTAGAACTCCTAGTGATGTAAGCAATCTCTGCAGTTGACAAAATCTAGCCTTTGCTAACAGTGTAATGTTGGTGTCATAGCTTGTCATTTAGTTTGTTTTGAAGTTTCTGTTGTTCTCTTAATTTTTTTGCACTTCCATCTAAAGCAATCATAAATGTAGCAATACAATGCTACTATAATGAGTGCAAGGCTTTGACAGCTTTATTAAGGTGGACTGTATTAAGGTGGTTGGTAACACTTTAGAATACTGGTCCACAAATAAGCATGTATTAATACTTAACTAATGCTTTTATCACAGCAAATTAATTCATGGACTAATATTTAATACATCAGGAAATAATGAAGTGTATATGTCAATAAACTGAATCAAATATGAATAACCATTAATAAAGGCAGTCATTAATTATTAACATAATGCTAACTCAGTCTGTTAATTAATACCATAACTTAATATATTAATTATGACCCTTTCTATAATGCATAATGTCTGATGGAGATGATGTAGGTTAACCACATTAGAGGCTAATAACCAATACAGTCATCTGTGGGAAACTCAATGGCATCACTGTGTGAACATTTTATAATTAATGAATTATCAGAAATTTCATTACAATTACATAAAAAGGGCTGGACTCAGTTTCATGCCCTGGCAATGTAATGCTGATTTACTTAATTAGTAATAATGTGCCAGGAAAAAAGACAGTATGTAACGATACATTGGATAATGATATATGATACAATTAACATGTCTGTGCATTATTAGTCATTACATTTATATATCATGTAACTTGTCTAAATTCATCATTATGATGTGACCCGCCAAGTACAGTCATGATGTAAATATGTATTTACAAATCATTAGTTAATACATCCATATATCATTAATTTACAGCGTATAAGAAATTATTGATCAGTGGAATGACTGAAAAGCACTACACAGAATTATCAGTGAAGACCATTTATTGAAACACACAATTTTAAACGTCGTGCAGCACAACTGAGCATCATATGAAAAAAAAAAACTATATAGTTAGGTTACATTATGCATTTCATGTCAAATCAACGTGCTGTTGAAATACCGCGAACAGAGAAGTTTGCTCAACGCTGTCTTTGTGAATGTGTTTAAAAAGAAACCACACGTTTTTCTCCTAAATGTACAGCCACAATTTTATTTGGGTTTAATCTCAAGTGATTCTGAGCACGTATTAGCTAGATCAGGCTCAGAAATTTGCTTCCACTGTTATTGTTTCTCCCAGAGAACTTGTAGAGAAAAAAACTAAACTAGCGCTGGTTTCTCCACCCTTTCTGTCCCACTCGGGTGCGCGCGAGACTGGAGGATCCACAATCGTGCCGGACAAACATTGGCTAAAATTAGTCTTTAGAGTTTTTCGAGATGAAACGGGTGTACAGAGTGTTTTTAATACTGTCTATACTTAAGTATTATTCTGATTTCCCCAGCGCGGTTCACGTCGATAAGGCTACATAGCCCACAGGGTATTTATGTTCAGGCATAATTTCAGTCTCACACAGAGGGCTCTCACTCGACGCATGCGCTCTGCAGCACCGCGTTTCTGTTGGATATGAGTAGTATTTGTGCTAATTTGTAAAGCATTGCAACCTTATTTACTGTCGATTAATGAGATTTTAGCCTTTGGAAAAATTTGTGTGTGTGTGTTGTGCTTGGATTTCTGTACTTTTGTTCAGTATTAGAAGCAATAAATGAAAAAGGCATAACAGAAGAATGGCAGTAAATAAGATTGGATAGTACTGAATTAGCACAGATGCTAGTCTTTCTGGTTGCATCCTGTCCACATTTAATTAATGATATATTAATGTATTACCCACGATGTGTTAACATATATTTACACAATGACTTTACTTGGTGGGGCACATCATCATTACTTACTTATTACAAATAGACACTATATAAATATGTTAACTAATTATGTTAACTAAGAGAATATAATTAAGTATGATTTAAAATTGCTGTCATGTCATGCAAAATTATTACCTCAGTTATTTTACTACATTATATTAAACTATTATTTTGTTAAATATTTAACCTGAGGATACATACTTTTTGCAGTGCAGTTTGTTTTAACCTACATCATCTCCAAACAAACGTTATGCATTATAGAAAGGGTTTTAAATAATATATCAAGTCATGGTATTAATTCATAGAAGGGGTTAGGCATATGTTAACACTTAATAATTACCTTTATTAATGACTATTTATATCTGACGCAGTTCAGGGTGGCCTAAAAAAATTCACATCATTTGAGATGTGAATATCTGAGTAACTTCATGTCCTAGGCAAACGAAATTAGATAGGCTTCATGTTGAACAATACAAGATTTATTTATCAAAATTCGAACAAGAAATTCAGAGGGATGTAGATTTTATAACCGATTTCACAAAGCTTCACAGATGTAATATCTTCCAATACTGGTGGTCGTCCAGATCCCTTTGCCCTGCACAGACAGACTTCCTCTTTTTTTTTGTGCCATGTCCAAATCTGCTTTCCAGTTGGTGCATTTTTATTGATTTTCTCGAAAATGCACGCTGCACACTCTTGTTTGACTGTGTTCAAGCATATTCTAACACACAAAATGCCCTTTCATTTCTAGTGAATGCCATTCTTCAACCTGAAAAAAAAACAAATTAAACTTTGTTTAAAATTTGTTAAATTTTGAGGGAGAATTGGCTGTGTAATTAGACTACGAAATGATGTCAACGTTTTGGGACACCCTGTATTATTCCATACATTAATTCACTGTGATGAAAGCATTAGTTAAGTATTAATACATGCTTATTTGTGGACTAGTATTGTACAGTGTTACCAGGTGGTTTACTATACTAATAAGGCAGTCTAAATAAGTGTACCTTTCCCA